CCCTCCCCTACTACCTCCCTCCCTCCCCCCTACTACCTCCTCCCATCCTACTACCCTCCCTCCTCCCTCCTACTACCTCCTCCTCCCCCTCACCACTTCCCTCCCTCCCCCTACTCCCTCCCTCCTCCCTACTCCCTCCCTCCCTACTCCCTCCCTCCCTCCCCTACTCCCTCCCTCCTCCCCTACTCTCTCTCTCTCTCTCTCTCTCTCTTCTCTCTCTCTCTCTCTCTCTCTCTCTCTCTCTCCTCCATTATTCATAATATATTAATAAGGTCCACCACTGCAACTGTTAAGTCAAATTAAACATTATATTATTCCAGCCTGGCTTTAAATGAGAAGTAATATGTACCCAAGGACGGAGGGGGTGGGGAGGGGTGAGGGCAGGGGGGTGAGGGTGGGGGTGAGAGAACAATACCATTAAACAAAGGATCCACTTTTTTAGGTCGTTCTGCATGGTGGGGGGGTCCGGTGGTGGGGTCCGGTGAGGGGAGAGTGTGGGGTAGAGAGAGAGAGGTTCAGTGATGGTGGGGTGGAAGGAGGGATCGGGTGGAGGGGTAGGATGGGGGGAGAGGGTGGGGATGGGTCGAGTGGTGGGGAGAGGTTGGGGTCGGGTGGTTGAGGTTAATTATTGTTTTAACGCTGCCAGACAACAAAAGCCTTGTTAACATTTCGTCATAAATTACTATTAAATCAGCGATGTCATTTTGTCCTCCGTTTAAACCCCGCCCGGTCACCTGCTGGCTCTCCTAGCTCTCAGGTTCTGTTACTTACAGTGCGTCTGTCTGTCTCTGTCTGTCTTCTCTGTTTGTCTGTCTTTAGGTATTGTAGAGTCTCGGTGTTATAGCGACGCCATTTTGAGCTCCATCTTCCTGCCTTAGTTTAAGTTCACTCACTCAGATGCTCTCTGATGCCTCCACCCAAGTCACATTTTAACGTGCGAACCTTTGAAAGTCTGAACCCTCGATCACTCGGGCCGTAGTGGACCCTCTGACATGTGGGCGGCCGGCAGTGACAGTGTGACTGATCAGGTAGTGACCAGGACCCACGCCACCCTTGGAACTGACTCCAGGACATTTCCCTTTGGAGCTGACTCGGAGGAAGACCTTTAAAACTGAACACCAGGAAAAGACTCATTGTACTTGACTCCAGTAAGATTACTTTGGGATACTCCTGGAGGACCCTTTTGAAACTGAACTGGTAAGACCCTTTTTGGAACTGACCCGGTAAGACCCTTTTGGAACCTGACTCCATTAAGACCCCTGTGGAACTAAACACCAACAGGACAATATAACGACTCTCACAGGCGGGCGGAGGAACACTTGAGTTGCATCTCGGCTTTGTCACCTGTAATTATCGGGAGTAAAGTGACCTCTGGGTGGTTCACTGAGGATAGGGGTGGTGTTGACCTACCACAGTAAAGTAACACACTACCACAGTAAAGTAACACACTACCACAGTAAAGTAACACACTACCACAGTAAAGTAACACATCACCACAGTAAAGTAACACACTACCACAGTAAAGTAACAGCACCACAGTAAAGTAACACACCACCACAGTAAAGTAACACACCATCATAGTAAAGTAACACACCACCACAGTAAAGTAACACCACCACAGTAAAGTAACACACCACCACAGTAAAGTAACACACCACCACAGTAAAGTAACAGCACCACAGTAAAGTAACACACTACCACAGTAAAGTAACAGCACCACAGTAAAGTAACACACCACCACAGTAAAGTAACACACCACCACAGTAAAGTAACACACCACCACAGTAAAGTAACACACCACCACAGTAAAGTAACAGCACCACAGTAAAGTAACACACCACCACAGTAGCGCCACAAGATGTGACTGGAGCCACTATAGGGTAAGGGGTGCTGATGGCTTCTGATTTAGTGTATAGAAAAATGAATAATGGGACAATCTCTACTTTACCCTCCTTCTTTCTCCTTATTCTTTCCTCTTTCTCATCTCCCTGTCTTCTTTCTTCCCGTTGTCTTCTGGTTCTTCCCTACGTGGCGTCTATCCCACATAAAACTTTTCTTGGGGGATTCTTACTTCCTAGCTTTATTTCCTTTAACTATTTCTCTCTTTGTCCTTCCTTCCTTCCTTCCTTCCTTCCTTCCTTCCTTCCTTCCTTCCTTCCTTCCTTCCTTCCTTCCTTCCTTCCTTCCTTCCTTCCTATTTTTCATCCATGTTGCCTCCTTCTTACACATTTCTCCTTCGTTCTTGTTTCTCTTCTCCATATTTTCGTATCATTCTTTCCTCTCCCATCCTTCTCTCCTCATTCATTCCGTTTCTCTTCCTCTCCCTTCTTTTTCTTCCTCTTCCTCCCTCTTTTCCTCTTCCTCCCCTTCCCTCCCCCCTTTCTTCCCTAATCCCTCTCCTTTTCTCCTTCCTCTTCCTCCCCTTTCCTTTCTTCCTCCCCTCGTCTCTCCCCCTCACTCTCCCCGTACTCTAACAGACTAACAGACACAAAAGGCGGGAGATAATAGGCCAAAATCTTATTCCGTACGCTTCTTATCTCTCCCTCTTACTATTTTTATTCCCTCCCACGTCATCCCCTTCAGTTATCTGTGTTGTGTCTGTCTCTCCTCTTCATTGATGTTGCCGTCTTGGTGGTCCCGTCTTTACGCACTCCTCTCAAGCATAAGGAAGATTCTAATATTAATGAATTTTACGGTATGTTATATAGTGGCTACATTCACCGTGTTTACATTCATTAGTTGACCATAGATACCGTGTAGACATTATCAGCTGACTACAGTCCCCGTGTTGATGAATGGCGTGTACAGGGGACATCTTGTATTAGAATTGGCCTCTACATCATATGACCATAAGACCCAGTATTAAATGATTAATGACAAGTTTGTATTAGATGTGTATTTTCTGGCCGCCTCCTGAGCAGAGCCGCGGTGATTAATGGGGCTCTGGTAGACGTGTGTTTTCTCAGTCTAGAGCAGCTGACTGGGGGCACCCCACTGTGATTAATGAAACTTTTGTGTGTTAGATCTGCCGGACAGGAACCTCTCCCCGGGACGACCCTCACACTCTACATTTATATCACGAAGCTAACAAAGACCGTTCTTGTTAGGACTTTTACCTTAGGGTTCTCCCCAGACTTTGGTAACTAAACATAACATTTTATTGTTGCCGACGTGGATGAAAAATTAATGTACAACCTAATAAGACTCTGGACCCAGGACTCAACCCAGTGACCTTAAAGTTGTGAGTCCAGTCCAGTCCAGTACAGTGAACATCACACCATGGTTCATAATACTTTAATGCCCCGCCAACGTGGCTAAGTGAATTATACCTTTCCCTGGTCTGTGTGTGTGTGTGTGTGTGTGTGTGTGTGTGTGTGTGTGTGTGTGTGTGTGTGAGGGTTCCCACCAGCAGGCGCTTCCACTATACTGACCTCAACTACATCTGCTTACTTGTTGCCCCGGTTGTCTATTCATCCGGATTCTCAAAAACACATCGCGTTACTATTTGTTTCCCCAAGTGGAATTTAGAGAACCGAATTCAATCATAGTCCAGTCCCTGTACTATTCCGACGCCATTTTTAGCTCTGTCAGCTTCATAACGTTGATGTAAGGCAGTTAGAGGTGTTTTTCAGATCATCACTAAGAGAATATTTAAGAATCTGGGTCTTGTGTTGTCAACTGCCCCATCCTGCTTGCCTGTGTTCCAGTGTCTTCTTACCTTATCCGCGCCTTACTACCCATGTTCCAGCCTTCCTTCCCATGTTCCGGTGCCTTCCTTACCCATGTTCAGCCTCCCCGTGTTCCGCGCTCCTACCGATGTTCCACCTTCCTCCCTGTGTTCCGCGCCTTCCTCCCCGTGTTCCATGCCATCCTACCTGTGTTCGGCGCCTCCCGTGTTCGGCGCCTTCCTCCCGTGTTCCGCGCCTTCCTACCCATGTTCCTGCGCCTTCCTCCCCTGTGCCTGGCGCCTTCCTCCCGTGTCTGGCGCCTTCCTCCCCGTGTTCGGCGCCTTCCTCCCTGCACCCGCGCCTTCCTTCCCGTGTTCGGCGCCTCCCGTGTTCCGCGCCTTCCTCCCCGTGTTCCAACTATTCCTACCCATGTTCCGCGCCATCCTACCCGTGTTCCGCGCCTTCCTTCCCGTGTTCCGCGCCTTCCATACTACCTATATGATCTGAACACGTATGAGTTTGATTGTCTCTCTAGTTAGGTCCAGTGAGATTATAATGTTCTCTGACTTCATTTGACCAACAGTACAGGACCAATAGCACATTACCCTCACATATTGAGACAGTATAAGCTTAAAGTGAAGAAGTGGTGAGGCAAATCGAATAACCGAATGGGAAATAGTAATTGAAATTGAACATATTGAAAACACTTAATCATAAACATTATATCTTACTTATTTGTGGACATAAAGGCATAATGATTAAGTGATGTGGTCTTGATGGTAAATATCCTTGGAGGTGTAGTACCCAATTGACCAAAGCCAGGACAACACAAAGAAGAGCCGAGCTTCTCTCTCCTCCCGCTGTTTAATAAAAGATGACAAGCAATTTGGGACGTAATTGTTGAGATATTTATATTTTCTTGAGCTAAACCCCAGGTATTATGTGTGTTGACAGAGAGATAAATGTAACGTGACGATACTTGACGGTCGCTGGTGGTGTTGTTGGTGGCTTTCAGTGATGATGCTGACAGCTGAGGTGTTGTTGGGTGGGTGGGTGCGTCCTCAGTTTTATGTTCTCAATGCAAAAATATGATCGTGTGCTAGTAACTTCTCCCTCCTGTGAGAGAGTCCAGCACTAACTCTCACTCTTCCCTCCCTCCTGTGAGAGAGTCCAGCACTAACTCTCACTCCTCCCTCCCTCCTGTGAGAGAGTCCAGCACTAACTCTCACTCCTCCCTCCCTCCTGTGAGAGAGTCCAGCACTAACTCTCACTCCTCCCTCCCTCCTGTGAGAGAGTCCAGCACTAACTCTCCTCTTCTCTCCCCCACAACAGCAAGACTGTCCGAGCGGGCGTCTCACTCCAGACAAGTTCGTTGACATGTACAAAATGTTCTTCCCATCCGGCAACGCGGAGGAATTCTGTGATCACGTGTTCAGAACCTTCGACATGGACAAGAACGGCTATATAGACTTCAAGGTCAGTGTTCTCGTGTTCTTTCTCTCGGCTCTTCCATATAATGTGATTTTTTTCTATGTTCTGTGATTTTTTCTGCCTTTGTCAATGTGCTTTGGGCATGAGGCCACAAAATTAATATTGTTAGTTTGTTTAACTTTTCATCTGATTCATGGTAGGTGTGTTGTAGTGTACAGGGAGAGTGTAGGTGTGTTGTAGTGTACAGGGAGAGTGTAGGTGTGTTGTAGTGTACAGGGAGAGTGTAGGTGTGTTGTAGTGTACAGGGAGAGTGTAGGTGTGTGTTAGTGTACAGGGAGAGTGTATTTTTGGTGGGTGAGGAGTGTAGTAGGGGTGCTGCTGTAAGTGTAGGTGGGTGGGTTAGTGAGTACTACACCTCTCACACCCACTATACCTCCCACACCTGCACCTCCCACACCTGTACCACACCTCCTCACCTGTACTATACTCCCACACCTGTAGTACACTCCACACCTGTACCACACCTCCCACACCTGTGTACTACTCCTCCCACACCTGTGTACCACACCTCCCACACCTGTACTACACCTCCTGCACCTGTACTACACCTCCCACACCTGCAGTACACCTCCCACACCTGTACTACACCTCCCACACCTGTACTACACCTTCCACACCTGTACTACACCTCCCACACCTGTACCACACCCTCCCCACCTGTAGTACACCCCCACACCCGTACCACACCTCCCACACCTGTGCTACACCCCCACACCTGTGCTACACCCCCCACACCTGTGCCACACCCCCCACACCTGTGCCACACCCCACACCCAGCTACACCCCACACCTGTACTACACCCCCACACCCAGCACCCCCACACCTGTGCTACACCCCCACACCCAGCACACTCACAATCTGTACCTACACCTCCCCCAATCTGTACTATACCCTCCCACACCTGTAGTACACCCCACACCTGTACTACACCTCCCACACCTGTACTACACCCTCCCACACCTGTACTACACCCCCACACCTGTACTACACCCCCTACACCTGTACTACACCTTCCACACCTGTGCTACACCCCACACCTGTACTACACTTCCCACACCACCTGTGCTACAATCACACCTTGCACTACACCTTCCACACCTGTTCTACACCCCCACACCCAGTACCACACCTTCCACACCTGTTCTACACCCCACACCTGTACTACACCTCCCACACCTGTGCTACACCTTCCACACCTGTTCACACCCCACACCTGTACTACACCTCCCACACCTGTGCTACACCCCCACACCTGTACCTATACCCTCCACACCTGTGCTACAACTCCACACCTGTACTACACCTTCCACACCTGTACACCCCTCCACACCTGTACTCACCTCCCACACCTGTACTACACCTCCCACACCTGTACTACACCCCCACACCTGTACTACACCTTCCACACCTGTTCTACACCCCCCACACCTGTACTATACCCTCCCACACCTGTGCCACACCCCCACACCTGTACTACACCCTTCCACACCTGTGTGCCACACCCCCACACCTGTGTCACACCTCCCACACCTGTGCTACACCCCCACACCTGTGCTACACCTCCACACCTGTGCTACACCCACCAGTACCTCACACCCACACCTGTAGTACACCTCCACCTGTAGTACACCCACACTCCAGCAACTCTCACACCTGTACCACACCTCCCACCTGTGCTACACCCCCACACCTGTACTACACCTCCACACCCGTGCTACACCCCACACCTGTACTACACCTCCCACACCTGTGCTACACCCCCACACACCTGTGCTACACCCCCACACCTGTACTACACCTCCCACACCTGTACCACACCTCCCACACCTGTAGTACACCTCCACACCTGTAGCACCCCCCACACCTGTGCACCCCTACTCTCCCTCTTCTTCACTGTCACTATGCTCTGTTTTCCCTTCATCATGCTGACCTCCCTCCCCTCCCTCCTCCCTCCCTCCCTCCCTCCCTCTTTCCTCTCTTCCTATACCTGGGACTCTCTTATCTCTCCCTGGCACCCTCTGATCTCCCTCCCTCCTCCTCTTCCTAAATCCCTTGAACATTCTTTCTCCTGGAGCCCCTTCCTCCTTCCCTCTCCCTGGCACTCCCATCCTCTTCCCTATCATCGGCACCCTCCCCTCTCCCTGCACCTTCTCCCTCCCTCCCTGGCACCCTTATTCCTCCCTCTCCCTGGCACCCTCCTCCTCCTCTCCCTGGCACCCTTCTCCCTCCCTTCTCTGGCACCCTATATCACTCCCCCTCTCCTGGCACTCCTTCTCCTCCTCCCCTGGCACCCTTTATCTCTCCTCTCCTGGCACTTCTATTCCTCCTTCTCCTGGCACCTCTCCCTCCCTCCCTGGCACTCCTTCCTCCTCTCTGGCACTCCGATACCTCTCTCCCTGGCACTCCTGATACCCTCTCCCTGGCACTCCTTATTCCTCCTCTCCCCACCTTTACCCCTTCTCCCTGGCACCCTTCTCCCTCCTCTCCCTGGCACCTCTCCCCCTGCCCTGGCACCCTTCTCCCTCCCTTTCCTGCCACTCCATCTCTCCTCCCTCTGTCTCTTCACCATTGGATTTGTTGTTGTAAGTCGTGACGGTAGGGGCTGTGTGTTAGCTGTGAGGCTGGGTGTGTAGGTCTGGGTAGGGACAGGGTGTCTAGGGTCTGGGTGTGTAGGACAGGGTGTCAAGGGGCTGTGTCAAGGGGCTGCGTCAAGGGGCTGGGTGTCTAGGGGCTGGGTGTCAAGGGGCTGTGTCTAGGCTGGGTGTCAAGGGGCTGTGTCATGGGGCTGGGTGTGTAGGTTGTAGCTGGGTGTCAAGGGGCTGTGTCTAGGGGCTGGGTGTCAAGGCTGGGTGTCAAGGCTGTGTAGGGGCTGTGTGTAGGCTGGGTGTGTAGGGACAGGAAATAAGGCTGTGTCATGGGGCTGTGTGTCACGGGGCTGGGTGTCAAGGGCTGTGTGTCAAGGGGCTAGGGGCTGGGTGTCTAGGGGCTGGGTGAGCCAGTAGTGGTTAGAACGAGTTATATTAATTTAAGCTTTTGACAGATTTTTTTTTCATTAATTTGTGTGATGATTATTATTATTATTATTATTATTATTATTATTATTATTATTATTATTATTATTATTATTATTATTATTATAAAGTATTCCTTTACCGGATTAATTGGTGAGCAGCCAAATTAGTTAAGGTAGAATGTCGGTAACTGGTAAATATTCTCTTTGCCGGACAAAATGTTTCCTAAACCGGATTTATTCTAATTAATGTAATTTCCTGGGTTTTGTTCTGGAACCGACAAAATATTAACTTCATACTCCGGAAGAGGAAAAGTTTGTAAAGTTTGTAAAGATAAAAATCAACGGAAATTTCCCCTTGTGATTAACCGGATATAAGAAAATATCTGAAGAGAACTCAGTGGCGGCTCCCAAATCCGGTTATTGGAAACTTGCCGGTTAAGTGAGATGTCGATGTATGTGTTATTGTTTTTGTTGCTGCGCTTGATGCTGTTGTTTTATTGTTAGTTTTATTAATGTTGTCAATTATTATTATTATTATTATTATTATTATTATTATTATTATTATTATTATTATTATTATTATTATTATTATTATTGTTGTTATTTATTATTATTATTATTATTATTATTATTATTATTATTATTATTATTATTATTATTATTATTATTATTATTACCAGAATCGTCATTATTCTTTTATTTATTACTCTCATTATTTTGACTTTGCGGGGCGCAGCGGAGCAAAGTCAAGGTAAGACTTTGCTCTATGTACTGTAAGTGTGTTGGTGATGCATGTGTGTGCCAAGGGCCATAAGACGCCTCAACATGACCCAAGTGGAGTCAAAAATTGGCACCCTGATTGACCTGACTTGACCTCTACCTGTAGTACATGTAACCTCGACCTCGTGTAATATCCTGTAATTTTGTTTTTTAATTTGACAGGTACAGTGATCATCTCTCCCCTTCCCCCCCCTCCCCTTACCACCTTCCCCTGTATTAGCACATACCTGTAGGTTGGTGTGGGAGCGTTCGGGGCTATATCGCGTGTTGGAGACTAGACGTGTACACCTATAACCCACGGCTCCGTTGCTCCTGTTGTTGTTGTAGTTATGGTTATTATTGTTATTACTATATTTATTATTATTATTATTATTATTATCATTTATTACTGTTATTATTATTGGTTTTTTAATTAGTACTAAAGTAGTTGAAATAGTAGTGCAGGGTCGTAAGAATAGTCGTAATAGTAGCCGTAGTAACTGTGATGGTATTCAGTAATTGCTACAAAAACTACTATTGTATTGGAAACTTGTTAGTTCCTGTGTCAGCAAGGTACAGGCTAAGTGACTATTGGTTCCTGTGTCAGCAAGGTACAGGCTAAGTGACTATTGGTTCCTGTGTCAGCAAGGTACAAGTTAAATGACTTAGTTCCTGTGTCAGCAAGGTACAGATTAAGTGACTATTGGTTCCTGTGTCAGCAAGTTACAGGTTAAGTGACTATTGGTTCCTGTGTCAGCAAGGTTAAATGACTTAGTTCCTGTGTCAGCAAGGTACAGATTAAGTGACTATTGGTTCCTGTGTCAGCAAGTTACAGGTTAAGTGACTATTGGTTCCTGTGTCAGCAAGTTACAGGTTAAGTGACTATTGGTTCCTGTGTCAGCAAGGTACAAGTTAAATGACACCACCTACTATACCAGCTCCACTCCACTACCTCTGCCCGACTTCTCCGACGCGTACGTGTGTGCGTCCGTGTCCCTGCCATCCACCACCAACCGTCCCTCCCATTCCACCATCCCTCCCACCTCACCACTTTCCCTCCCACCTTACCACTATCCCCCCTTCCCTCCTATACCACTATCCCTCCCATACTACCATCCCTCCCATCCCTCCCTCTCATCCCGGTCACAAATTCCTAAATGCTCTGGTGTTAACTTTTCACAGAACAGCGGAGATGTGAGCACCGCGTATCCC